ATGCCATTATACTATAAAATGTAACACCGAATGTGAAGTGTATTCTGTAATAAGTGAAAGTGAAATCACTTGAGGAACGCGGGATGATGAGCATATTTTGGTTATAAACATCACGGGTGGAAGGAGTTAAAAAAATAGTGAGGGGAAGGCCTATGTAGACGGCTACGTCATCAGTTTCTGGAACTTGTCATCACACCCCTGTCAGCGCAAGTATTTCACCTGTTGAGGTTTTCATTTTGCAAGATTGAGTCTGGTCCTGCATCACTGTTAGATATGGTCATCACTCCTGCAAGCATTACCAGAATTAGAGTAGAAATAGCATAGAGGAGAGTGCAAGGAGTAAAGCGGTAGTGAGGGATAACGTCAGACACTTAAGCCGAGACAAGCTAAATTTTACAACCCAGCTATTTCTGGGAAATTTTTGAAGTAGAATCGATAAGTGTTACAAGTATTGGTAAGCTTAAAAATTACTGGTATCTACCCGGGATTTATTAGCAGTATGAATACTTAGAAGTGGGGGCACACACACACACACACCACACACACACACACACACACACACACACACACACACATACACACACGCACACGCACACACACACACACAAAACACGCACACACACACGCACACACGCACACACATACACACACACACACACACACACCCCACACACACACACATACACATACACACACCACCACACACCACACACACACACACACGCACACGCACAACACCACCCCACACACACACGCACACACACACACATACACACACACACACACACATACACACACACACAAGAGCATCAGGCGCATATAACAGGAAGGGCACTGCAATGGATCAGAGAATACCCGACAGGGAGGCAACAACAAGTCATGGTACGTAAGATGTATCACCCGTGGGGACCTGTGCGAGCGGGTCCCACAGGGGTCGGTCCTAGGGCCCGTGCTATTTTTGGTATATGTGAACAACATGACGGAAGGGTTAGACTCAGAAGTGTCCTGTTTGCAGATGATGTGAAGTTAATGGGAGAATTAAAACTGATGAGGACAGGCAGGCTTCAAAGAGACCCGGACAGAATGGACACCTGGTCCAGCAAATGGCTTCTCGAATTTAATCCTGCCAAATGCAAAGTCATGAAGATAGGGAAGGGCACAGAAGACCCCAGACAGAGTTTTGGCTAGGTGGCCAAAGACTGCAAACCTCACTCAAGGGGAAAGATCTTGTGGTGAGTATAACACCCAGCATGTCTCCGGAAGCACACATCAATTAGGTAACTGCTGCAGCATATGGGCGCCTGGCAAACCTGAGAAACAGCATTCCGACACCCTTTGTAAGGAATCATTTAAGACACTGTACACCGTGTATTTCAGGCCCATACTGGAGTATGCAGCACCTGTTTGGAACCCGCACTTGATAAAGCACGTCAAGAAACTAGAGAAAGTACAAAGGTTTGCCAAAAAGGTTAGTTCCAGAAACTAAGGGGAAAGTCCTATGAAGAAAGATTAAGGGAAATCGGCCTGACGACACTGGAGGACAGGAGGGTCAGGGGAGACATGATAACGACATATAAAAAACTGCGTGGAATAGACAAGGTGGACAAGGACAGGTGTTCCAGGGAGGGGACACAGAACAAGAGGCCACAATTGGAAGTTGAAGACAAATGAGTCAGAGAGATAGTAGGAAGTTTTCTTCAGTCACAGAGTTGTAAGGCAGTGGAATAGCCTAGAAAATGACGTAGTGGAGGCAGGAAAACCCTACACAGTTTTAAGACGAGGTTTGATAAAGCTCATGGAGCGGGGAGAGAGGGGGTCTAGTAGCAAACCCGGGGAAGAGGCGGGGCCAGGAGCTAGGACTCGACCCCGCAACCCCAAAAAAAGGTAGTCAAATAGGTGAGT